ATGAATGATAGTGGCGTCTGTCTCAGAACAGTTGGACTGTGCCGAAAACTCTTATTTGCGACCTTTTTCTTCAGTACTGCTTTTCAGCCCTAAAAGCTATTAATAGGTAAATTTACCTTTTTACACAGGAGAGCAAAGGAGAATGCAACACAACAAAATTTCCTGTTAAGGAGTCCTAGAATACGCTGGGCGTCTAACTTAAAATGAACACTTAAATTACAGGCGAATTTTGATATGAGAATAGACTCAAATCCTTATCCTAGGGAGATTTTGTTATTTTGTGTAATTCCTCTCCAGATATTCTTTAGCCCCACCTTTCCGTTGCTCAACGAACCCTCCCCTCCCCCGGGTGCTTTTTCAGATAAGCACATGGAAATCCTACGGATTCGGCTAACACGACCCTACCCCTCCTGTCCCTGGGGCATCATCATTTCGGGCACCGATGATGTAAACGATGCTCCTGTAGTAATTGACTCCCTTACACCCGGCAAGCCCGGCGCTATTAGCGGCCTCCTCCGACCCGGTGATCAGATTCTTGCAGTCAATGATGTCAGCGCTACCCGTGGACTTACACTCTCTCAGGTTATGGCCCGACTTCAACTGCCCTCCGAACAGGTCCTCTTCTACATTGCGCGTCCAGTCGGCGAAGCAGCTCGCCACCTTAACACCTCCAGAGCCTGTTCTACTCGGGGTGACAGTACGCCACAGCTGCTGAGTGTAAAACAGCAATCCTCCTCAGCGGTGAGTCGGCAGACGTTTTGAAATTACACTGGGCATGAGCGGAGTCTTGCAATTTTGCACCGCACACCTCTATACGTGCAGTTTCACTTGAAGTAGGCAAAGAGTTTAGTCGGCAAAGGCAAGGGAGACTGGAATGGCCATTTCAGGCTCATTTGGCGTCGGTGGCCAGTCATACCAGCCCAGGCATACACTCTAGTGGTCGTAGTGCGTACATTATCACTTGACTTTGAAGGTGATGTTTAAGGAGGTTTTAAGGACAGTAAAATATTGCAGTGAGACATTCTAAAAGAGCTTTTTATGATAGCAGACGGATAAAATACAAGTATTTCTACCAAGTAAAGCCTCTGACAAAGCTGCAAGATTACGCACTTTGCATAAAAAACTCTTGTGACGCACAGGCCACATTTCCCACACCCACAAGCGGTATATTGCGATAATTGAAAGCAAAACAATACTTGTTTCGGTATATCAATTATTTTTATTAGTTAAGAAATAATGTATTTGAATGAAAATGATCAAATTAAAACAGGATTTTATCGGAGGTCTATTATTCAACACATAATATAACCCACAGCAGAGAAGGAAAGCATGGTACAAGGGGACAATACCGAAAAATGTTGACAACTTCAACATAATATTGTCATTTGGTGTGGAAAACAGTTGGGCCAGTCTTAATTCTCAGCGTGGTAAAATAATATACTTCCAGCTACGTCTACTACTGCGTCTTGTGGAAAAAGGTAAAACTTTTGCAAGTGGTGAGTTCTAAGGCTGAATTTGTTTGTTTGTTTCTACATCAGTGAAAGGTGAAGGGAGATGGTTCTGTGGATTATCGATGACTGTTTAAGTAAACGAACCATGAAAATAAGGGAAGTGACATTTTAACCGTATTTAGCAAAACGTCTAGGTTACCATCCGTTCGTTCGGCAAAAGTAACTGAGCAGGTCTGATCTTATCCATTTTGGATTTAGAAAGTGTTCAGTTTGTTCTAGGTGAAGTCTCCTTTGGTGTTTCTCAAATTTTCAACAACACTACCCTTTTATATACTAGGATATAGCAGGTGCTTTCTCCAATTGCACAGCACACATTTGGAAATAGCGCTGTATTAAAGACATAAACCGGGAGTTTGCTGGTTAATCTGGCCTTTATGGTTTACCAATGCAGGCCAATTACACGCCATTCACCTTGCATGAGAACATTCCTGGGGCGTCTCCGCTGTTTGCGCACCTATATCCCATATATAATCTTGATTTTTTTTTCGAAATGAAGGCATAAGTACGCCTAGCATACTTGTGCCGGTCAAGTCATTCGAAATAATTGTGGTTTTTTACGCCAAAAACCATCACCGCCGCCGCAAATGTACGAATTTCAACAACCTCTCTTTTTTCACACGAGCGCATGCGCGCAGCAGAGAATTGTACTCTGTCGAATCTCAGACTGGCTTTGCTTCAACTCCCAACAAAAATTCCCACTTTTCTGTTGTCTACCAGAGCTCGTACACGCCGATCTCCCCGCCACCCCCCCCTCCACTTGGCGTTTTATCTCTGCCAGAACACAGCTAC